GTAATCGCATGGCAGGATGCTGTAAAAGGACCAAACTTCAGCCAGGAGAACAACTGAGATAATCCATCCACAATACGAGGTTAGTCATTCATATACTGCTGCATGGGCTGGGCTGTAGTTACATCCTAAGGTTTTAAAAACTGAGCTTAAATAAATGATTAGCGGTAATAAAAGCCGAGGGAGGTCAACAGTGATCACTGACTGTTTTAGGAGCTTTTTGAGATTAAATAGAAGAAAATACATAACATTAAACATGTTAACAACACAAAAGCCATATTAAACGCAGACTACTTTAGACCCGGAAGTAGGATTCGTCACGTCATCACTTAACAATTGGATTGCAGTTTTAACATTTCACATGTGATCAATTTTGTCATATAAAAGGTAAACTTAATTTAGTCTGCCAGAAGTTTGTTCTTGGTTATTAAGGCAAAATACCCTACGTTCCAAATAATCATTTTTGTATTGTGTGATGGTGGCATTTTGAATCCTTTAACATTTACCTAAGACCTGAGTACGGTGTGTACTCAGGCATGAAGCCAGTTCTGCCATTCCTCGGTAAAGTAAACAGTAAGTCAGGTGATGTAAATTAATAAAGAAAGCCACAATTAGCAGGTCATGTGGCGTGGGGGTGAAGGAACCTGTATTATAAAGTAGCTAATGACAGTCAAATTGTCTTCTTTTATTGTAAACCAGAGATGAATAAATATTCTTCTATAACATGAGCTCTTTGTGATTTGATGATGTGTCTACATAATAAAACTGTACTCAATCTGTTTATGACCTCAAGTGAGGGAGGTTAATCAGACTTTAAGAAGTAATGACCTACAGAGTTCTAGACCTTTTCAAGATTACAATATACGTCAGGTGAGCAATTTCTTATTATCAAGATGTTTTTTCTATTGATTCCAGCTGATGAAGTGATCCAGCAGTTCTGTCAGATGTGTGATGAATATTAGATCAGAGTTAAGAAGACTAGAATAGTACATGATTCATTGTCCCAGAGTCAATGATTTTGACTTTTTAAAAAGTCACTGAAAGGCTTTGAAACATGCTAGGGACAGGCGTGTTTGGCAGTAAGTTGTTATGAAAAAATCTGAATCCAGATATTGAAAACTTTTACCAGAAATTGAAGTACCTACCCTAGAAGCTCTTTGCATCGGCGCACTTTGATGATTTATGCTATTACATCCAGGTTTCCATTAACATTCCTGTGACAGTTCAAATAAGCAACATGGATCAGTCACGCTTTTCCCATTCTGAATGGCAGGTAGTTTTTTGTGTCAAGGCTAGAGATGGGAATTGATAAGATTTTGTAGATTTCTTTAATGTGATGTGCTTATTGATCTGGTTCTTTATCAATTCTTGGCTCAATTATGTGAGAAAATGAGTACAGCGAGGTTTTTTTGTCAGAACAGCTTCATTATCTAAAGTCCCAAACAGAGTACTGCTTAATGCTAGCTGGCATCTGAGGTGGAGGAAATGAGAGCATGTTTGTGTGGCATTTGTTTTAATTTATAATAATGGATTGCATTTATATAGCGCTTTTCTGGGCATCCAAAGCACTTTACAATTCTACTATTCATTCACTCACTGGTGCAGGTAAACCACAGTTGTAGCCACAGTTGCCCTGGGGCAGGCTGACAGAAGTGAGGCTGCCATATCGCAACATCGGCCCCTCTGGCCAACACCAGCAGGCGGTCTTGCTCAAGAGAGAGAGAGCAGGGGGATCGAACCGGCAACCTTCCGGTTACAGATGAGCTTCCCAACCCTCTGAACCCTCTTCCCAACCCTCAATTTAAGCTTTAAGCATGGTGCTAATGTTATTATATTTCAGCTTATTTAGTGCCAGTTACCACTGAGCAGCACTGTTGGGCGACAGTAGCAACAGCACTTGTTCTGCATGTATTTAGAGCGTCACATACATGGAAGTGAAGCTCACGTTGTGTGTAAGATGTTTCAGCATGTTGCTGGTGTTTCCATCCCTACCTGAAATAATCACTTTGTGACTTTGTAAACACAACTGTTCTCTTCTTTCTTAGTGAAATCAAGTCATGCTCTGAGCCTCTTCTTCCTCTCTGCCATAACTCCTTTATGTGGTAGCACTAGACATGTGTATGAGGTTGTTTTGCAATCAAAGTGCACACTGCCAGCACCTGCAGGCATTGATAAAGGAATTGATAAGCTCAGAGGCATAGAAATCTGATACTTTAAAACATTTGAAGCTATTTCTCAAGTGGCACTGGTTCTTAGTTCCCTTGAGAACCTCTTGCATTTTCTTTTTTAGTTTCAACTTTAGGGAAAGTATTTTACATCACAAGCGAGACCTTTGAGTAAGGCCTCAGTCATACAGGCCTAGAGACCAACTAGGCAACCATCTGGTAACTTCTACTCGCAAGGAAAAAATGTGTATTCTATGACAAGCTGGGGAGGTTTTTCTCGCAGTTGTTAATGGGAACCTTGCTTCAAAGAGGCACTTGGTGCTGTTGTTTTGGTTGCTAGCAGGTTGTTGCAGTTGGCAATAGTTTGTGTGGAAGATATTGACTTGCTACTCAAGCTACTCACAAAGCAGGAGACAATCTATGAAAAAAAATATTCGCCTTAGAAACACAAGTTGTTCCTTATGTGCTGGAATGTGTAGAAAATAGGTTTAAATGTTAAACTAATTTATTCAAGTCAGAGAATGTTGCATATAATTAAATTTTTTCTTGATGCATAAAGTTAAAAGATTAAAACTGATAAAACAAGTTAAAAAAAGAGACTTTTCCATTTGATTACATTTTGTATGATGGATTATGTAGAAAAAGTAGAATTGGGCTGAAAGATCTATCGCTTTATTACCTATTCATGTTGCAAATCGTGCTTTTAAAAAGTAACTAAGTAATTAATTACTTTTGAAAATAAGTAATCAGTAAAGTAACGGGATTACTTTTTGGGGAAGTAATCAGTAATTAGTTACTGATTACTTTTTTCAAGTAACTTGACCAACACTGCTGATGACTGACAAAAATAATCCATGTAAAGTTTAGCTGTGTAATACCAGCGAATCATCATGTAGCTGACCAAAGTAAAAAAAACAAACCACACAACACTGACTAAAGATTTAGCTTGCATTTCATGCTACACTATTCTGTCCACGCCACATGTAGCGTAATGACGTTATACTGGGTGTTTCACGCTTTATCTCCTTGCAGTTGTTGTTGCTGCTGCAGTGTCAAATGCCATTTTGTCATGTTCGCATTTTTATTAGTGGTTAAAATGAAAACAGAAAAAACGCTGTCCGAGGTAAGTAGGTCTTGGAACAGCTCCTAGATCCTCACCAATAAAGGATTTTTAAGACTGATATGGATTTGGTGATTTAAAAATCTGATGTATCTGCAAGTATGTTTTTTATTATTTCAGACACATCTTAACAAAACCTGTTAAATTTATTTATTCTATAATGCTCTGTCCCATGCTTCGCAGATCAGTTAGTTTTTGTGTATTTTCCTTTGTCTGCCAATAGATGACCAAATGGCTAATATTGACCGACAATATCAGCCCGCCGAAAAATCGGTGGACCCCAAGTAGTTACCCTTTGGGAATCCCAAAAAGTCTTTGTTCGAAAAACACCTACAGTGGATCTACTGGACAACGGATGTTGAATATAGAGGTGCCTGGCAGGGGGAAAAGAGGAATCCCACAAAGGAGGTTCATGGATGTAGTGAAAGAGGACATGAAGTTTGTGTATTTGTGTGACAGAATTAGATTTTAGGAATAGGGTGAGAGGGAAGCAGATCATCTGCTGGTGCAGCCCCAGAAGGGAGCAACCTCAAGAAAAGCTGTATATATGATATTTTTAACCTTTAAGTGTCTGCTGCTGCATCACTGTACACACTCCCGCAAATGTATGAGGAGAACCGGAGTTAGAAAGCTGGTGTGTAGGTTCTAGGCTTGGTCTGTGAGCCTCGTTCCTAGTGGAGGAACGAGGCTAATCAGTTTCCTATTAGTGGTTTGTTTGGGTTTGTAGCCAGGGTAGGAGCTCATCATCATCAGCTCCTCACCACAAGCTGCGCTCCAAATACTTGTCGGTGTCAGCTAAGCTCGGCCACCATCCATCACTCGGAGGCCACGATCCTCTATATAACGTATTTGTTCAGTGGAGTCGTGACTCACCTTTGTGCTCTCGTCTGTTTACTTCTGCTTTGTCATACTTGGCGTTCGAGTCGTTCTGTGTTTGTATTGTGCATTTTTAAACAAAACCAAAAAAGTGATGACTTCAGTCATGAGAAACACCGATTTTAGAGATAAAGTCCTGCTTTATTTTATTCCTTTTCTGTACTTTGACAGTTCTTCCACTTTTGATCACAAGCTTCTTTGTTGGATGGTGACGAAGACGAGTGAAATAGATGAGTTATGTAAGAGGCTGTGTTTTGACTGGGAAGCAACGACAAGAAAATAACAAAGTAGGCCAAAAACCACCAAAACAGTTTATTAACTGAGAATTAGATGTCATGAAACAAGGGTTTTTTTTTTTTTAAAGAAAAAAGATAAAGGCTTATGTAACTGTGGCTGGTGGCCCCAAATTCTGTTTCATTTGAAAGATAGAGTTTTGAATTAAAGTTGTTTACCAGATACTTAATTCATTAATCATCACACACTTTACTTACCCCATTTCTTTATTTTAAGTCTCTTTCGTCCCTCCTTAACTCTGCCTTGCTTGTGTTTTTTGCATATTTTCCAGTTCTTCTTTGCGCTCTTATCTCATAACTCATTTATTTGGTTTCCTTTGCCCCTGTCACGCTGCCTCATTTTATCGTCTCCTTTCCATCACGTCTCTCATTTTTTTCCTGTACCAATTCCCAACTCTCCTGACCTTCCTGCCAATTACCTGTATGTCCCCATCATCCCGTCATCTACCGTCCTTCCAGATAATTCCTTTCCTCCATCACCCACTCCTTCCTTTTTAACCTTCCAGTGCTCCTGTTATCCACACACTAACTTGTTTCTACTTCCTGCAGACCCTGTGGTGCTGGGCAGAGCGTTATGGCTCAGACGCTGCAGATGGCGATCCCTAACTTTGGCAACAATGTCCTGGAGTGTCTGAACGAGCAGCGGCTGCAGGGCCTCTACTGTGACGTCTCCGTGGTCGTCAAGGGACATGCCTTCAAGGTCAGAATTAAGTTTTTTGACGACTTCATTCAAACTAATATAGCTAACGCCGTTTTTGTTTGACCTGAATACAGGCAGAATCAAAAGCGCATATTTAAAGTTAAAAGTAATTTATCTTTTTATGTCTCCACATAGCTTACTCTCATTGCCAAACACATTCTTGTTGTCTGTGCACCCATCCATGCTGAATACAACTCTTTACTGTAATCTATTTACTTTGAATTTCTCCAAATTTGGCAGAAATGTGCACTCTCACTAAAGTATGAAAGGATCTCAATGTCACTGTGACATTTCAAAAGATGTTTTTGCTTGTAACTCAAGAAAACTTTTACTGATTATGACAACATTTATGTCGGATGACCCAAATGCAAAAGCACTAGTGTTATTAATTTTTCAACGTCATAAGTGAAAAAGAGAAGAAGAGATTGTGGCCATATTTCATCAGTGGACAGATAATGACCTGGTGACACTGATCTTTGGTGTCAGCCTATCAAATTCCTTTATAGTTGTTTTTAGGGATGTAGTTGTTAGTGAGTTGTTATCAAGGTGAGCGAACTGATCTGTGGGAGTCATCTATTCTTTGCAGTCAATTCTGTGTTGTTCTGTTTGCTCCTGTTGGTGTGGAAGAACTCGACTGGCCTGCACAGAGTCCTGACCTCAGCCTCATACACCTTTAGAATTAGTTAGAGCAGAGACTGTGAGCCTTATTATCCAAAAATCTGTGTCTGAACACACAAATGCACTTCTGGAAGAATGGTCAAAAATTCCCATTAACACTCCTAAATATTGTGGAAAGCCCTCCCAGATAAATTGAAGCTGATATCATATCAAACCCTATGGATTAAGAACTCTTTTTTATATGCACGTGAAGGCAGATGAGCGAATACTTTTGGCAGTATGTTTGGAGGTATTTCACACGTTTCACCAGTAAGTGTTCTTTTAAGTTTGCAGTAACTTTTGACTTAATGCAAACTGCACAGCATGGACATATAACTTGACGGGACTGAGAAGCTTTGACAGCGACATTGCTGTTGCCGTCCCTTCTCTCTCACTATGTTCAGTGTAACACTTGTTGGGGAGCTTTTTTTGCACTCCATGAATATATTTTCACATTATCTGTCTCTTGTCAGTTCCACTCCACATGCTAATAATTACTATGACATACCAATTCAATACATTTCTATTCTTGGGTGTATTTATTTGCCACAGTTTGTTTTACAAAGTTAGTGTTTAAGTAGAGCCTCATGTTGGCTTACACATAAAGACTGACTCCCAGTCTCTTCCTCAGAGTGAATACAGCTTATTATTTTGACATTGGTGTCTGACAGCTACTCACTAAATGGAAGATAACCCAAGCCAAGGTGTCGTATTTGAACTGGAAAAATCTCAGCCACTGCAACCTTAGTCTTCTACGTATGAGTCTAGACAAGCACGGATGTAAAATGCAGCTTGACTCAGTTCACTGAGAGACACAGTGACAAGCTGGTAATTCTAGGTCCTCGTGTTTCCTTGTTGCCAGAATGTGCAGATGAATTGCCTGGAGTACTGTTTGTGCATGTAGTGTCAGGATTTTGGTGAGAATCTCTTGGTAGGATAAAAAAACGATGCCTCGGGTCAAAAACTAATAGTCTCAACATTTTTTGAGCTTCCTTTGTCTGCCTCTCCTGATCAGTCAATAAACTTAGTTTTGGACTGTTTAGTGCAATTTGACATCGTAACCTGAAGACACTAATTTTGGCAGTGCTTCAAAAGTTACTGTTGAGCAATACGTGAAGTTTCCTTTACAACAGGATGCAATTTTCATGCTTTGCATTAAAATAAATTCAACCAGAGATTAACAATAAAAATGTATTAGTCTTCTTCTGTTACTGCTTTCCTGTTTGTTTATGTCTTCTGCCTTACTGACAACAAACATGAGCAAGTGCAAATCTCCGGATATGGATGTTGATATATACTGTTTACTGCATCGGAGTCTATGTATTTTTAAACCCTTACGACTTCACTACCCCTGCTGTTTACCCCTCAGGCCCACCGTGCAGTGCTGGCAGCCAGCAGCTCCTACTTCCGGGACCTGTTCAATGCTGGGGGGAAGAGCTCGGTGGTGGAGCTACCCCCGGCCGTGCAGCCGCAGAGCTTCCAGCAGATCCTGGCCTTCTGCTACACGGGGCGCCTCAGCATGAATGTGGGAGACCAGTTTCTGCTCATGTACACCGCCGGCTTCCTCCAGATCCAACAGATCATGGAGAAAGGCACCGAGTTTTTCCTTAAGGTAAGCTGATAACGAAGCAATCACAAATCGAGTCATTTAAACGTCTGTTAAAGTTGAATGCAAATGTAGAAGAGCATCCATAGGAACACTTCTGTGAATATGAGGATTATTTAAATGTAATCAAAATGAAGCAGATGTAAAAATAGCCGTTTCTGCGTGCTGCCGCCGTGTTACCTGTTGTGCGTGACATTATGCGTGGCATTATGTTGTGATGGGGGCGTCTCTGTTTGTAGACACGTTCTCGTGAATCGAGAATAATTGAAACGTCGTACTGACACTACAGGTTCCCTCTATAGTAGCAGATGATCTGATTAGATCTGGAGTGCCTGGCTGCATAAATTAGCATATTAATGAGGGGGACTGATTTCCTTGAAAGTTCCACTTAACACCTCTAGACACAGGGTTGATAAAATGCCAGCTATGTGCTAGTAGACCAGTAGAAAAACGATCAATACAACAAGATTTGATACTAGAAAAGTCATATCGTGCAATCACAGTTTACTGTTCCTAAAATGTTCATTATTTGTAGTTTTCTTACTCCATCAGCTATTTGGCAGAAATTTTTGATAGAATTGTTAATACAATGACCAAATAGTGCTAAAAATGAACGATCTTTTAGTTCCCAGTAGTGTTGTGATGTTAAATAGCCAGGATGTCCATGTTTGATTCATGATTACTAGATTTAAAGTTGCCTTATATGTTTTGTGTGTGTGAATGTTTCATTAAGGAGAATTCTTTTCAGCATTATAATATGGAGACTGTCAATTTTGAACTCCAGGACTTTTCGCTTAATTTGATTATACTGCTTTAGATTGTAACCACAATAACATGAACATATTAACCTTTTAATCAGCACATATTTTTCAGATATTACTATTTTATTGTTAAACTACTACTGGAGCATTCCACTGGCTCATTGATGGCTTGTATGGTCATTTGTTTCTGGCTTCTTTGTACCATTATACATGAACTTCAGGTGTGAATTACTTTGGTCATTTCCATAGATTGTGTATAGAAGATTAGCTAGCTAGTGCTAAGTAACATACAAATAAAACAGAAGTTTCTTCTTAACTGAGGCCAAGTGCAAACTTCTTGGACAGACTTTTTATTAGTTACTTCTAATAAAATGACAAAATATTCTGATAACATAAGCTACACCCCTAATTTTAAGCCTTAAAGAAAAAGAATAGATCAGTGATCCCCCCCCCCCCCCCCCCGCCTCATAAAAACAATGATGCAAAGACTCCAGCTCTGTTTGTTGAATCACCCTTTTAAGGATTGTTTTCGGAAATTTAATATTTGGGTATGTTCGGACAGAGGATCAACTCAATTTTGGAGCGAGCCTCTGTTGTCCACTAGAGGAACTGCAGGTTTTGTAATACAAGTGTTGGCTTCATTTGTTCAAGCTCAGGATGCTTCCTAATGTCATCATTTACGTTCTTTATTACTAAATTATTACACCACTGCTGCCATGTGTTGCCTGAGATTTAAAACAGAGTGCTGGACACATTTTTGATACCTTATTTGAGAAATGTTAAGCCCAGCTCCATCAAACAACCAAGTTTCCCTCAGTAAATATTTAATATATGTATATATTTAATAGTGCTGTCTCTTTTTACCTGTCTTCAGTGCTACCGTCAGATTTGAGTAGATATCAGACATACAGTATGTTTACAGTAGATTTACCCTTCTAATGGCATAATATGTTTTGATCATATTCATGAAACTTTCCCCACACCAGGTCTCCTCTCCAAGCTGTGACTCCCAGGGTCTCCACACCGAGGAGACCCCATCCTCTGAGCCTCAGAGCCCCGTCACTCAAACAGTGGGAGTGGGCGGAGTTGGCATCGGTGCTGCCACTGTAGGGAGGCCTGCCTCCTGCCTGACACCCCTTCCCCTCGTGTCCAAGGTGAAGACTGAACATACAGCCACAACACCTCAGCCAGCTCCACAGCCACAGCAGGTAGGTTTGGTCTGGGCCTTGCTACACAACCCCACATGCTTTTGTCTTTTCTTTCTTTTTTGGCGGATGAATCATAATCTTGAAATGAAGTAAGAGTCCAAAAACTTTCCGAGGAAGGAACATGAATTTTTTTAAAGGTCAGACTCCTTATTCGGTTACTTCAGCTTCAGGTAGAGTCAGATTACCCTAATAACGAAGTATATATACTGGATATGTTCATTTCTTTTCATTGAAAATGGAGGAAAGCATCTGTTGTGAGTTCCAAAAATAGTTTTCATGTGATGTCAAGTGCTGCTAATCTGCATATCTCTTTAGGGGCAGTGTGATCATCATCACATACTTTTGGTATAGATAAGCAAACATCATCATATTTGTCAGGTGTAGTGTTTCCCCATCAGTGGCAGATTTAACGTTAGTTGTGTGTGAGACGTGCGATCTTGTTAAAGCTGATATATTGCATGTTACTTCTTATTTTCACTTAACATTTCTGTAAGTGAAATGTTAACCTGTAGACGTCAGACTTTTTCCACCACTGATTTGTTTTCACAGTTAAAAAGACAACAAAAAACAAACAAACAGAGACTGAAATATTGAATATTGAAATAGTGCCAAGAAAACAGATCATCAGATATTTTCAGACGATTTAGAAAAATAGCAAGAGGGCTGGTTATTAAATATAATTATTTTAATAAAAGTTGGGCCCAATTAATCAGTTTCTGTTACAGCTTGTGTTATGATTTATTTATGTGATTGTTAAATCAGGAGTGTTAACATCATTGGAGTTCATATTTGAGACAAATATTCCTATTTTTCTTTTAGTGTAAAGAAGTACATTTTGATTATTTATTGACACATTTAATGTAATTAATTTTAATTTTAAATAATAAGTGTCCCTCGGGGTGTCCTGTGCGAGGTGCTGCAGGAGTATGGGGTGTCTGGCCCATTGCTACGGGCCATTCGATCCCTATACAACCGTTGCAAGAGCTTGGTTTGCATTGCCAGCAATAAGTCGGACTCGTTACCGGTGGATGATGGGCTCCGCCACCATTTCTGTTCATAATTTTTATGGACAGGATTTCTAGGCGCAGCCAAGTGGTGGAGGGCTTTCACTTCGGTGGCCTCAGAAACTCGTCAGAACCACATCATCTGCGGATGATGTGGTTCTGTTGGCTTCATCGGATGATGGCCTCCAGCTCGCACTGGAACGGTTCACAGCCGAGTGTGAAGCAGCAGGAATTAGGATCAGCACCTCCAAATCTGAGGCCATGGTTCTCAGCCGGAAAAGGGTGGAGTGCCCACTCCGGGTTGGGGATGAGTTCCTGCCCCAAGTGGAGGAGTTCAAGTATCTCGGGGTCTTGTTCGCGAGAAGGGAGCCGGAGATCGAAAGACGGATTGGTGCTGCGGACGCTGCACCGGTATGTCGTGGTGAAGAGAGAGCTGAGTGTAAAAGCGAAGCTCTCAATTTACCGGTCGATCTACGCCCTTACCCTCACCTATGGCCACGAGCTGTGTGTAGTGACCGAAAGAACGAGATCGCGGATACAAGCGGCAGAAATGAGCTTCCTCCGAAGGGTGGCTGGCCTCTTCCTTAGAGATAGGGTGAGAAATTCAACCATCCAGGAGGGGCTCAGAGTAGAGCTGCTGCTGCTCCACATCGAAAGGAGCCAGTTGAGGTGGTTCGGGCATCTGACAAGGATGCCCCCTGGGCGCCTCCTGGGTGAGGTGTTCCGGGCATGTCCCACTGGGAGGAGGCCCCGGGGCAGACCCAGGACACGCTGGAGAGATTATATCTCTCGTCTGGCCTGGGAACTCCTTGGTATTCCCCCGGATAAGCTGGATGAGGTGGCTAGGGAGAGGGAGGTCTGGGCTTCTCTGCTTAGGCTGCTGCCCCCGCGACCCGGCCTCGGATAAAGCGGATGAAGATGGATGGATGGATGGAATTTTAAATAATAAACTTTATATAAAGCAAATGAACATCCTGAGATTTGCATTTTGTCATTCTGCTGCCAAAACTACACGCAGAAAATGTAACCGCATCTTTCATTTTCATGCTCTCATTCTCTGGAAGGCTGATTCTGGCCTTTGGGTCATATATTTGATACTCCCGATAGCTCAGTTACATATTATTGGCTGTGTGAAATTGTGCCTTTTTGCCCTTCCATCTCAATTCATCTCAATTAAAAAAGCAACAAACAAAACAAAAAAATCTTAACTTGACCTGAAAAATTCCTGGGAAAAGATTCTTCTTCTTATGCAAAATTTCTGATCTATGCTGTCATTAAAAAATACTTTAAGAGATGGGTGCGGTGCTGGTATTATGTCTTCATGAGTATGGAGAATCCCTAAAATATTAGGATGTCCAATCATTATCAGCAGATCTGGGGGCCTTTAGATGACTGATATTGAATTCACAGTTTCTCACACACGAGGCATATAATATTCTTGAAAACTGATAAAGGCTTGAGATGTTAAAGCTAGAATAGAGAAAAAAGCATCCACCATCAGTGTGACATTGCCCAGGTATGACACCATGTACCAGAACAACTCAGTTCATAATATATGCAGAATTTGTGATTTGTGTTTATTGTCATTTTCTCAGTGTGATTTTTTGAATTACAAACGGGGATGCAGGGTAGCATGGTGGCGCAGTGGTTAGCAATGTTGCCTCACAGAAAGAAGGTCCTGAGTTTGACGCCGAAGATCATTTCTACATAGCTGAATTCTATTGTACTAAAAAGAAAACCCACCATCATCTATTGAAATCCTTTTTTGATAAACTTATGACCATAGCGACCTGGAATTTTGTACTTGTAAGAAGTACATCTTCCCCTGTCTGAGATGGTCAGTGGGAGGCATTTGACGAACTGACAATGAGTGGCTGAATGAATGTTTTATCTCAAACCCATCTCGCTTCATTACAGTCAAATCATTTCTAATAACGAGCATGTGTGCTCTGTTTCAGCTGAGGCCGGCACCTCTGTTCAATATATGTGCATTAAAAACGTGCTGCCAGAACCTCCAGTGATATTTGTTTGATGCTGCTTGAGATGGGAAACGTACCATTTGTACTCTAAGCCACGAAACCATGAAATGACATTTGTTTATTACTGTGTTTTATTGAGTGTTCCAGTCAGGCGCTGGTTTATAACCAGCATGTTTCTCTCCCTCTCTCTCTTCCTCAGCCGGAGGGCTCTCCCTACTCTGTGGTCTGCACCCCTGTGGCCAAGCGGCTATGGGAGGGGGGTAACCGTGATGGGGGAGGGGGGTCAGGAGGGGGCGGGGGCGGCGGGTTGAGGAAGGCTGCACGCTATTCTTCCTCCTCCTCTTCCTCGTCCTCTTCCAATACAATAACCCAGGACGCTTCTGGCCGCGGACCTGCCGCTAACGCCTCTCTGGTGGGCAGCGGAGGCAGCGCTTTAGTGGGAGGAGCTGTGCTCAACAGTAACCACAACAATAACAACAACAACGGCGGGACCCCAGAGGGTACGAGCCCGGGCACCCTGAGCATGTACACCAGCGACTCGCCCATCAGTTACCACGACGATGAGGAGGAGGATGATATAGCAGATGAGACTGAAGAGCAGTACAGACAGATCTGCAACATGTACACCATGTACAGCATGCTGAACGCCGGAGCAGCAGGTAAGCGCTGACAGCAGGATAAATGCATCAGCGGGTGAGTTCATTCCAGGGTTACTGTGCAGCTCCGTCTAAAAGTTTCCTCCTCTGATCTCTGCAGCGCTTGTAGTGTGTTTACGAGTACGAATGGTGGAAAGTTTGTTTATCCAACTTTCTCAATAGTGGAGGATGTTAGCGAGAGCGAAATGTTCAAAACACTGAAACCGCTGAAAGCTGTGGTCCTGCTTTAAGTTTGTGAGCTGTTTATGGTCTGCTTGATCACTAGTTTGAGGACAATCACATGGAGGTTTGAATGGAACGATGGTGAATAAAGTTGGTCGAACGGTATTTTGTTACATGCAGGAATTGGAAACTGGGGCACAGCGAGGTTTGTTGTTTATTGAATGTTTTAGGATCAGACTTGAGACTGAAAAGTTCGAAGGAGCAGCATCATGTGCTTACAGTAAATATGCAGTGGTTTCAAACAAGAAGGACCATTAACAGAAGTACATTTAGAACTGGATGTTAAAAGTTTATGGCTAACGTGTATGATTGAACGGCCTGCATCCAGTTTTTTTAACATCTGAGAGCTGGCCCCCTTTGTAATTCCCTTTAGAAGTTTTGTATCACTGCTGAAAAGCTGTTGCTACTATATAAAATTTTTAAATGATCCCTAACCCTCATTGCAAAAAAAAAAGAAAGGTAACACTCGATCTTTCCCTTCCTCAGTTGTCGGGGAGCGGGTGGAGGCTCTGCCAGACTTAGCCCCAGACTCAGGGGGCGGGCGGGGGGGCAGAGGGGGGCGGTCCCGGCAGGAACTAGCATCGCTGCCCGCCGAGCTCATCAGCCAGATCGGAAACCGCTGCCACCCAAAGCTGTATGAGGAAGGAGACCCGGCTGAGAAGCTGGAACTGGTGAGCGGCACCTCTGTGTTCATCTCCCGCGCCCAGCTCATGAACTGCCACGTCAGCGCCGGCACCCGCCACAAAGTGCTGCTCAGACGCCTTCTGGCGGCGTTCTTCGACAGGTCAGTGTCTGATTTTGGGGGGTTATTTTTGTAAGACTGATATAATAAAGATTTTATGGTTGATCATTTTTGCGCTTGTTGACAGCAGACAAAGATGTGCATTGTCCATTCAAGTATTTTATGTGTTGATGTGTATTTTTGTTTTGTTTTAACTTGCTCAGGAGCACTCTGGCTAACAGCTGTGGAACCGGCATCCGCTCCTCAACCAATGATCCCAGTCGTAAACCTCTGGACAACAGAGTGCTGCACGCTGTCAAATGTGAGTCATACAGAAGACGTACAGTGTATGTATACTGAGAGTTACATGCATAGACTGTATAAGGAAGATGGACGTACCCGTCGGGTTGGAAAAGTGAAGCCAAAATGAAATTGCCTTAAACCTCAGACCATGTTGCTTTCTGGTGACTAAAATGTCAAAGTTCAGGCTTCTGCATCATAGACTGTATATAAAAGATGTACACAACCCATTGTAACCTTTTGTGCTGTGAAGTGCCATTTTGAAATGGTATGTTAGCTTTTTTGGTCACCGCTGTCTGTTTCAGTTTGAAGCAAGAAGTGACCACATTTAAAGAAGAGGGTAATGTGCTCAGTTAAAAGCTAACGCTAGCACAAAGGATTGTCATTGACATGGCCCAGGTACAGATACCTGCTAATTAATGCTAAATAGCCTACAAATAACGCACTAAAATTTCACTCAATTCACTGAATTGACTGCACAGAAAGCAAGGAGACTTGTCAGATATTTATAGTAGAATTTCCTCACAGTACACCAACACCAAAACTCCATGTCTAGACATCCAGTTAAGTGACTCAAATTAGTGGCTCTGAGGCCGAGCAGAGAGCTGGAAGCTACAGTCGCCTTTACCAGCATCAACTAGTCACATAAAGCAAGCACACCCAGAGTTTTAAACGCTAATAAATATGAGGGCAAACTATAACAGTTGTTATGAAAATGTACATTAGCTACAGAAGACAAATTGGGCTTGGGAGTCTATGATACTTGCTTTTGGAGCCAGCCTCAAGTTCAGTTCAATTCAATTCAATTTTATTTATGCAGCGCCAAATCACAACAACAATCGCCTCAAGGTTCTTTATATTGTAAGGTAGACTCTACAATAATACATACAGAGAAAAACCCAACAATCATATGACCCCCTATGAACAAGCACTTTGGTGAAAGTGGGAAGGAAAAACTCCCTTTTAACAGAAAGAAACCTCCAGCAGGACCAGGCTCAGGGACCAGTTTGGGTGAGAGAAGGAAGAGAGAACAAAAAACATGCTGTGGAAGAGAGCCAGAGATGAATAAATAGTATGATGTACCCAAAGGTTCCCCTTTGTTCAAAATTAAAGTCTACAAATCAATGACATCACACTGGCCTATGTTTATATACAGTCTGTGATTGCATGTCAGTATGCAAAGCTGCAGCTTTAGAATTTAGGCTCTAATGCGTTTCTGCGTTTCTCTGCCATATGTTTTTCTCTCCCATCATTTCCTCTTATTGTCCCTTTACATACTCTTTGCCTCGCTCCAGTCTACTGCCAGAATTTCGCACCGAGCTTCAAGGAGAGCGAAATGAACGCCATCGCTGCCGACATGTGCACCAACGCCCGCCGCGTCGTCCGCAAGAGCTGGATCCCCAAACTGAAACTGCTGATGGCCGACAGCGACGCCTACTCCGCGTTCCTGGCCGACAGCGTGAAGATGGAGGCCGACGCATTGGGGACGGAGCAAGGCTTTGACCCCCCGCCTCACTGGAAGCCGTGGCTGCAGCGGCAGCAGCCAACAACAGCGAAGCGGGAAGCGGAGCCACGCCGGCAGACGGCCTGCAGGGGGCGGGGGGAGATAGCAGCACTTTGTTTTGAGTGAGTGAACGGACAGATAGATAGAATGGACAGATTGATGGAAGGAGGGGTGGAATATCTCTGGGGTGATGAGAACAGAACGATGGCCACTCTGGTCTTGACAGTAATCACTCCTCCCCTAGCCCGCTTTATGTTTGGGGATATGTTTCTTCAGTTTGTTCTGCTTGCCTTCCTTTGTTTGTCCACGTTTCTGTCTGTCTCCACAGCTCAGAATGAATCTCTGCAGTTTGTTCTTGAATGCTCTTGTGGAGAGAGATGGTGAAAGGTAGCAGAAGGAGGTTCGCTCCCCCCCAGTTCCTCATCCTTCTGCAACCTTTAGAAACCTGATTTCAGCCTTTATTTTTTTATGTTTTTAAGAGTGTGTACTGTCACTAAAAACCTTTTCTTACCATAATCACAGACATTCCCTAGGGGAAGGGGGGCGGGGAGGGGTAATCCAGTTTGGAGAAGGCTCCTTCTCCAAACTTCGGTAACACTGTTGTTTTTGATATTGAATGTATGCGTGGCGAAGCATTCGAGATGCAGCTGAGTGAGGTTGCGCCGAGCCCTTTTTGTTTTGTTGTTTTGGTTTGCTTTGTTTCATCTGCCAGATGAAAGCTTCTCTGAGTGTTTGGGCTCGGTGAGGTCAGGGGTTGAAATGAATATTAATATGTATATTGGCATGGTTTATGATCTCCTCGACCTCAGCCTGCTCTTTAACCCCAGCTGGCCATGCCGGGAAGCTGACCTACTGGTCTTCAGAGAAATGCTCTGACTTGGACAGCAGCTTTTCGATTGGCTGGTGATATGTTCAGATTTGTTAGCGAGTTTAAAGCCTAATCAATAACCTTCCCCCCTCCCAAACCTTCCCCACATTTTGGCCGTTAAACTCTAAAAAAACAAAAAATAAAATATCAGTTTGTTTACTTTTTCTGTTTTTTTTGTCACCTTTGTGTGTGATGTTTGCCGAGACTCCTGAAGGAGAGGAAATTTGTTACCGATGATTGTAAAAGAGTTTGCGTGTGATAAATGCACTGTGTTATTTCCTGCGGTATGAGTACAATCGAACTAAGTTTTTGTATGTATCGGACTGAGAAAACGGTGTGGCTTTATTTTAAAAAAGGCAAAAAAGAGAAAAATAAGAAAAAGCTAGAATCCAATCTCTAAGTTTGTTTAACTCCCCCTCTCCCCTTTTTAAAAAAAAATCTGAACGAACGTCGAGAATTGTCTTAAAGCGAGTTTCTGCCTGTGAGCTTAGTGACAAATTGAGTGTGTGTGTGTGTGTGTGTGTGTGTGTGTGTGTGTGTGTGTGAGAGGATACAGCGGCGGTGCTCTTTTCATGTCAGCTCATGTTTAAATTGATTTCTCCGAGAATATTAACGGAACGGGCTTCCTCAGGCTCTGCCCGCCTGGATATGTGCTCGCCTGGCACAGACAAAGGTGCTAATTCAGACGGCGGTACATGGCGAGCAGCACGGCTCCGTGCGCGCATGTAGGTGTGCGTCTGAATGGCCGCACAGTTTGTGCTGCCGCAGAGAGTGTGAGAGAGAGAGGGAGGCCAGACAGAGCGTTTCACACACGCTTGGGCGATTCATTCACCCATCACTGCAGTGAGCACACATACATGCGCTAATACGCATTTGGGGGCTGTCAGCTGCATCGGCTACAGTACACCAGAGCGACGTGGGAATTAAAGGGGAATCGCATCGAAGCGATACGTTTCAGATACATTTTGTGTTTGAGGAGAATGCAGCAGATAGAAAAGTGGCTCAAAGTTGTGCGCGTCTGTTTGAAAGTGAAATTCCTGGCTTTATAAGTGCTTATAATGACAAAAAAAGGAAAGCTGCTAAATGATAGAAGTCAGAGAAATGTTGGCATAGAAACAACCCTGAAAGTCGTTGCAGTCATGGTTGCTTTTGGTACTTGCGTGTGTGAGTGGTAGCTTTCAAGAAAAAAAAGAACAAGAGTGCAGAAGTAGATCTTTTCTTTTAAAAAAAACTGGCCTTCAGCTTTGGCAACGCAGCTGAATACAGTCATCAAGAAAACCCTGGAAAGGGCTTTCTGCTCTTGTTCAGTTTGAAGTTGAATGCAGGTCCAGAGGAACGTTTGATTTAGTCCCACTGGTACTCTGATCATCAATGCCACTGTGCTGCCTGAAATGGATGTTCAGTGTGTTTTATAACCAGCTTTTAATTTCAGTCCTTTAATCTTGCCTGTTCAAATCAAAGCAGTGGCAATCAATAACAATGAACTAATAACTAGAGCCTGACTGATACATATTGATTGGGCAATATTGGCATCACAGATGAATCTGTATTTCCATATATGTTATTCTTTATTGAAAAAGAAAATCATCCTTGAAGCGATGTAGAAATGGAAAGAGCGACTTCCACTTTATTGTTTACAATATTCTTAGCGGTCTCAGAGCGCAGTGCTAGTTTGTGAAATGCATTGTTGTATCACGCAGAGCTCAGATTTTGGTTGGTGCTTCGCTAAGCAGCAGGAGGAGAGAGATGCATCTGACTCTGAGGGGAGTTCTTGTAGGTGGTGAAGATCTGTGAAGTAGCGCTTTTTGCTAGGAGTTTTTTTTTTTTTTTTTTTTGAGGAAAAGGTCAGTAAATGGCGCTAAATGTTCCAGCAAAGTCACTAAGTTGGCAGTGAGGTGAACTGCAGTATGACAGTTGGTGCTGCAATGGAGAGGACTGAGACTGTATATACCTGCACATCCAGAAAAATATGTGAAAATCTTTATCCTGCTATAACTTGTAATTGAATAGACAGCACAGGTGTGCACTGATGCTACTCTTTCAGTCTTGAGACTGAATCAAGACTGAAATAGTGCTGCGACTGGTGCTGACAAGAGACAGGTGAGGTCAAATAATATTAATGGAGTTAATGGAGATAACCCTGTTACATTACTCCAAGTTTAATAAAAGCTTTCTAAGAATTGTTAAAGCAAACCTAATGAGAGTGACGGAAGAACTTTTTATTAGATTTAGTCAAAGTTAAGAGTAGCAGGCTCGAAATGCCTCCACACAGAGCAATTAAGAATGGAACCAAATGGATCAGCCCACAATCAAACCTAAATAGCAGATTAATGCATCTTTGATCTCAGTTTTCATTGTTCCTCTAAATCCCAGTGTCAGTCAGGCTTTGCTAAAATCTTTTGTCACTTTAAATATTCCCCCTTTCTTAATTCCTGTCTTCCTGCGTGCGTTACTTTCAATTTTCCACTGTGACAAACACATCAAAAATGTGGATTTTTTGTTTTTTGAGCACGGCAAAACCCAAACGGGACACAGGTTTTATTTCTTTTTCCTAATCATACGTGGCCCGTGTTTTTGCGATAGAAGAAACCTGAAGCACCTTAATGCTAGTGAAGTGGGCAAGTGGAGCTATTTGAACTGTTTAATATCATTGTCACAGTTTCATATTGCTGTTGTGACTCTACCCACCGCCCACACACATACAGACACACGCTCGCACACGCAAAGCAAAGAGTCTGTAGTCAGACTGTCTCTTAAGCGAAACGCAGAAACAACCCTGTACAAGATCTTAGTGTGGAACCAAAAAAAGCAACCTCTGGGGCGCGTTGAACGAAACCAGTTTTTATAGATCAGTGTTATGAAAAAAAATTGTCTGCTTTTTAAAACCTGTTTTATGAGGAAAGATGTTTATGTGTTTGTTTGTTTTTTTTTAATATACATATTTAGATGTAAATCAAATGCTATTAGTCAAAGAACCCTTAGTCTTGAGACAAGCACCTAAAGGCCAAGAGGAGGAAGTGGGGAGGCGCCTTGCCCCACCCTCTGTGATGGACCACATGGTACGATCCACAGAGACTCTACCAAGTTCGATACCTGGGGACAGAACAAGTGTGAGACATGAACAAGGAAAGAAAAAGAGAAAGATATAGGATGGAGAGGGAGGGGGGGGGATGGACAGTTTGCACTTTTTTTGTTTTGCTTTCTTTTTCTGTGCGTTGGCTCATTCGCAGTGTTTTGTGTAAGAGCACTGTCTTAAATGAGGGAATCAAAAAGAATCTGGGAGAGATGGAGAGGGAAGGAGAGGACAGTGTAAGCCTCCATAGAGAAGAGGGACGGATGAAGAGGGGGGGAGGGTGGTGGCTGGGACGCTCGGATGATTTGGTGTGAATGCATGCATGCATACGGCTGTGTATGTACGTGTGTGTGTGTGTGTGGTTTCTTGCAGGGTGGGTTGGGGAGCTGTTTGTAAAGGCTTTGTGTGTGCGTGTGTGTGTGTGTATCTGTGGGCGAACAGAATGTGTGGGTGTGCTTTTAATGTGTGTGTGTGTGTGTGCGCATATTAATGTATGTATGCAGTTTTTTTCCTCTCCTCTCGCTTCCCTCTATCTCCATTTATGGCATGTTAATGTCTGCCTCCTCACTAGAAAGAGCTTTTGACAGTGGTACTGTGTGTGTGTGTGTGTGTGTGTGTGTGTGTGTGTGTGTGTGTGTGTGTGATGCGCATGCCTATGCCAGGCTGGGTCTGCGTCTCGATCTATGTGCTGCATACGTGTGTGTCTGGCTTCATGGGGCGACTGCGCATGTCTGTCACTGTGTGTGGGTGGTTTGGGTGCTCAGCTCTGCAAGGTCTGTGTGTGTGTGTGTGTGTGTGTGTGTGTGTGTGTGTGTGTGGGTGTGTGGGTGGTATGTGCACAGAGGTTGAGATGAGTGGCTGTTTGTTTTTGTCTGCCTCCGAGAGCGGCATACCTTTCTTTTTCCCCCTGTCTCTCACACACACACACACACACCTGCAGAGTGACATATACACAGCACAGAGTCTGTATATGTGTATGATATCAAACGTGCAGATGTGTTGCGGGCACGCTGCATGTCATGACTACAGCTCGACTCTTCCTGGATATTTTTTTAAAAACATAAAAATCCCTTATAAGTAACGCAAATCTCCAACACTCAGATTTTTTTGCAGTAGGGGATTTTTAATCTACAAATTTCCTCCCAGATGTCCAGTTGCTGCTGCCTTTTAAACATCCTGTACTCCTGCATGGGACAGCAGCAAAACTGCAGCCAGGACTCTGACACTTCCCACCCCCCTCTCTTCCTCTCCCCACCCCTCTCTTCATCTCCCCAATTGTTTTTTCTCTCGTCTTCTTCCCTCCCTCTTTTCTCCGTGTCCTCGCCTGTCTCTCTGTTTTCCATTCTCTTTGTTTACATCTTTCTGTCTCGCCGCCTCTTTATGTATACATTTCTCTCTCTCTCTTCTTTGCTGCCGCCCTAGGTCGCTCTCACACATACACACACAAAGGAAGCAGCTAAATAGTGTGGGTCCCTTGTTGCTTCATTACGTGAACCATCATTTTCCATCGACCACTGCTTCATTTCTGTCTCGACTCCATTTTCTTCACAGAATGCAAATCCCTGCCAAACTCTCCCCTCCTGTATATCTGTATCCACTTCTGTGTGTGGGTCTGTGTGTGTAAATCTGTGTTTGTGTGTGTGTGGGTGAGCTGTCTATAACAACAAGAGAACAGGCTGCCAAATATGTTGCTGCATGCGTGCGTGTGTGCATACATATGAGCTATTCGAATGCAAATCTGAAACTAATTGGGCGTAGGTACATTTGACCGAGCACGTCAGTGCTGTGTGTGTGTGTGTGTATGTGTGCGCGCGTGGACGCCGTGGTCCGACTGTCTTCTTTTGTTTTAACCGCACCTTTTAATAATCACACTATTGATGAGGAAGGTCTATCTGTCCCCATATTCCCTTGGCTGCTGTGGCCAGCCAATCAGAGTGTCCACATGAGAGACGCAGCCAATCATGAGGTGAATATCAACCAGACTGTTGAACCAAGTGACCAAGTGAGAAATAATTATAATTATCTAAGACTTGAGCAGTAAGGGGAAGAGGAGGAGGGGGAGGCGGCGGCGGTGCTGCTGTTCTTCTTGAGGAGGAGATGTTTGTTAAGAATCTCCCAGGACAGACGAGGCATTGCGGCATTCTGCCGTCACACGAGCAAAGCCTCAATCCAGACAAAGACACAGGAGTGAGAGGAGAGAGGACGAGAGAGGAGACTAATGACAGGGAGGAGGATGTGGTGATTGTCTCTCCGTGGCCCTGTGCCACCACGATAAATACTTAGGTGCTTGTTTGTTTATGTAGCGTGACATTTTGCAGAAGGGTGGGGTTGGGGCTTGAATGAATAAACGGTAGATTTGCTTAAATCTCTTAAAAAGGCTTGATAAGAAGAGCACCCAGTTAGTGGACGCCGACTGGGATCCAGATAAAGACGTGACCTTTCAGCGCCTTTTTTTTTAACCCCACAAAGTTAAAATTGCACTAATTTTTTAAATATTTAAGTAATACCTTTAATGTCCAGAAACGGATTTGGCTGAATTCTTTTGAAGCACTGCAGTGTGATGGTGTGACAGTGTGAGACCATTTGAGCTTCGTAATAAGGGGCAGTGTGAGTTTACAGTGTTTCACAGTACACTGAAACACAACTTTATTTTCTACATGTGACCTCTTTAAGCAAAATATCACCTCCATCTTCATTATATGGCAAACTGTGTGCAAGAACCAGAGCTGACATGATCAATCGATCACCATAGCATGAATTAGTTTATCAGCTGAATCATCAGAATCACTGGTTCCCACTTCTGTTCTGCTTCCAAATGTAAATATTTGCTTGTTTTCGTCCTTTCCTCGGTGATGCTCAATTGAATATCATTGGATATTTGGACTGTTTGAACAAGGCAGTTTAAAGGGCTCTGGATGCACCACTGTATCAATATTTGCCTTGCTGACCGCCATTGGCCCATCCACAAATAAGATGACATTTCCCGATGGCACCGGCCAATCTTTATCTGTCGTTCCATCAATCTTGCACTGGCTAAATGTTAAAAGATGAGATAGCAAGCTGAAAGCTTGTAATGAAGAGTTCTTTGTTTTCCTGACACAAATTGGATAAAAAAAAAATATATATATTCCAAATTGTTTGTAGAAACATCAAGACTGTCCCAGAAGTGGCATCAAAAAGGAGAACTCTAGACGTAGTCCTTGAATTATTCAGAATTTGGAAAAAAGCAATAATATGTGTAATTATGTAGCAGAGAGAGGTTTTGTATCCTTTTCATATAAGAACATCCTACACAGGGTCATAGGTTGGGAGATACTAGTTGCTTTTGTACCTTAGTTTTGGGAACAACGGATGATGTACCCCACTTTTTACACAAATTGCGGGTCCTTCGTCGCTCATAGAGCTCCATTTTTAAGGTCTTTTTTCTTTATGTCCTCCTGGGAATTAAGTTCTTCCGCAACATTCGAGGAACTTTCAGTGAGGGAAATGTAATGTGATTAGTCAGGATGTAAGTGTATTTTGAGCAGCTGAACATGCAAATGCAGGGCCAGCAAAAGTAAATGGTGGTAAAAGGTTAGGCATGTAAAGAACAGCTCCTTATATTAGCCTTAAAAATGGACCAAAACGCAGAGAAGTGAACTGACAGTGAAGTCCAGGCTGTCTCGAACCTCTCTGAAACAAAGAACATGATGTGAATACATAGTCCCTGCTAGCATTTCCCTTCAACTTGCTGCCTAGTGATAAACTAGATAGAGTGGGATTACAGGAAATGAAAAGACCACAACAGGAGGTGATTGGAAATTACCAAGCACTGGCCTGGGAAATACATCACTTCAGAGTTTGTATTACTGGTGCAAATGCAACCAGATCAAAGACTGGTAGGTCTGGTTTGGTCCAAAAGCAGCTACTGAGGCAGCCGTTAGCCTACAGCGTTGTTTTAACACAACAGTCTGCATGTCTTAAATTTTCCACAGAGGCAGGCAGGAGAACAAAGTGCAGGAGTCGTGATTAGAGGGAAGCTTTTTGATGGAGTTTCTGCTGTCTGATGGTGCTTGACCTGGTCATCTGGAGGTTTGGGAAGTCAGCTGGGTGCACAGAGGCTCGAGTTGGCTTTCAGAACCAGGATTCTCAAGATAGATTCATATGGATGCTCTAAAATATACAAATAATGGTTGATATCAACCCTGCTGACTGGTAACAGCAGGTGCAGATATCAGTGATCAATGTTTATTTGTTGTCCGATTAATTTCCATTGATAAGATGTTCAAAAAGACACTGAAGAGCTGAAAGGCTCTAAAAGAGGGCAGTTATGTTTTATAATGATTTTTGGCACAAAGATTGAAATAATAAAAAAAAAACATTAACAGTTGGAAAAAAAATATCTGAATGGGTTATTGGGTATCGGTCCAGAACTTCACAGTTCCTGTAAAGTTGGCGTACTTCCAGCGAGCAGAGCTAAGGGATATTTTTATTCATATCTGTTTTATTTACTCTTCGTTTTGGAGGGAATGTTACAACCAAGTAGCCGAGTGCTACGGAGAGACGAGACAGAAGTTTTAAACACTCTTAGACGTGCAAAGAGAAAAAAACTGTATGAACCTGAACAGTAAGCCTCGGACGTCCTAGTATGATAGGCTGTATATCACAGAATATCTTTTTTTTTATTATTGTCGTTTTTCTTTAGCATATAAGATTTAAAGATCATCTGTCACCTTTGACCTTTTAAAGTCGGTTGTAGTTTTTGCCCCTTTGTAGGGCAGCTATGCCTGAGCACAGTTTTCTAACTCGAGGTTGAGCGGGGCCAGAGCAAAGTGCTAAAAGCTTGGTTGTTTGAGTTTTACAGTTTTTTTTTTCATCGTGTTTGTTTGTTTTTTTGTTGTTGTTGTTTTTTACATTCGAGCAAGCGTACTGTAGTTTTTGAAAGTTATTTTTAAAGGAGATGCTACTAATAAGACATTAACACCTGTATGTAGAGTTGCCAAGTTGTGTTAAAAAAGAGTCAAAGCTGGTTAGCTGTAAAATAGAGAAAGAGAACCACATATTTTTGCATTGCGATTGTTGTATGATTGAGGTGCTGTGGGCGGGGAGGGTTGGAGAGGCGGTGTAATGCTGGACCAGATGTTTGTTTTTTACTGTACTGCAGCCGTTGTCGGGACATGATCAGGACGGACTGAAAAATGGATGGAGAGCTGAGGCAAACAAAACTGTGGCGGGCTCACATCATTTTAAGGCAAAGCGTCTGAATGTCTGTTTAAAAAAACTGTCCTTTCATGGATGAAAGCTTATTCGCTGTTGTCTTTGCATAATTCAGATCAGAGTCTTTGCCAAGCCTGCATAAACTTACACCACAAATCGACCCAAAGTAAGTTTACTTGACCAGCTTTTCCACAAAGAATAAGCTATTGTTGCTTGAATGTTTTTTTTTCCTCTTTAAAACGTCACCTGGGGGCTAATTACAGCTACTGCAGCTTCAGAGAATTGGTGAGGGGGGGGGGGGCTCAGAAGCTGCAGTAAGTGCCAAAACCACCAGGTGGCAGGATCCCAAGAAACAGTGATCCCACAAAAGCTATGATTGTAATCAAAGAGTCTCGATCACTGTTTTTATCCGAGCACCTTAACAGCAGGCCTGCTGGAGGCTACTGCTGCTCATTTTACAAATCCAATTCAAACCTGCCAAAATGTCTGCGATGCCAAATAAAAGCTGTCAGCAGATTGAAATGTTGCCGACATGACTTCCAAAAGAAAAGAGCACTGCAGCCGTTTTCCTGCTTCCATCCTCCATCCACGAGTCACTCCACATGTTTTTCATTCCTGATCTCTGTCTCGGCGTCCGATCCACAGCGAGGAACAAAAGTGACATGGAGAAAGTGGAGTCATCTTTTTCCCCCTTAAAAATACAAAAGAAAAGCACCTTTGGGCAAGAGCTCAATTGTTAAGTAGAGCCAAAGCCCTCTGCACCTTTCCGAGCACACTCACCGTGTCACTTCCTGTCTGTGGTTTGGATGTCGGCATCAGAAGAGGGACGTTTGTTGATGTAAGGTTGACAATTGTAGATGTAATGTGAGTTTTGTTTTGTTTTTTGTTTTTTGGGGTGGGTTGGGGGGGCTTATTTGAATTGTTTTTACATTTTTGTACTTCCCTTTTTATTTTGTATGTTTATTTTCTCTTGTAAAGTGTAAAAATGATGATCATCCTTCACCCATGTGGGAATGGATTGCAATTGAACGCAGGCGGGTAGGTAGGTGGGTGGGTGGGAGTTGGGTGAGGGTTACCAACAAAGGGTGAAGTCTGGTCTTGCTGATTCAAACAGGGTTCCTACACGTATATGGAAGTGGAAATGAACAAAAGAAATCACCAATAGAGGAACGATCGTACAATAAGAATTTGATGGTTTACTGGTTCAGGGTCAATCGAGAGTTTTGAGCTTGAAAGTAAAACCAATTATATGTATTCAAATTATTAAGAACTTTTTAAGAAAGTGATTTTTTTCAGATGTACTCGAGTGTCTTTTTGGGCTAAAAATTCCATCCAGTTTATCTGATGCATGGACACTGTATTATCTTTTTGACACTTGTATTCACTTTTTGTTCAACAAATTTTTAATGTGCGGTCAAAATACGAAAGGAAAAATCCTCCCTTGTGCCAACTTTCTTAGCTTTGGTTTTGGTCTACTGTTTGAAAATTTTGGCTTTATAACTGCTAAACGAAGCCTGTGTCTGGGCTGTGAGCAAAAATGATGATTCCAGTGTTTCACTGCACCTGCCATGATATGTCGAATATTTTTAAAAAGATATTTAAAAATAGTTGAAATGCTGAAAAATGATATTATTTTACAGTCACTGTAACAATTTAACAGTCATTAATGCATTAAAGTAAAAAAAGTACTGTTTAGCTAGCTAGCACAATTGTCAGTATCTGCACTAATGATGCTAACAACCAAATTCTTTTACAGTCAGGACTATTTAACACATAAATACCAAACAGGGCATTAACATTGCACATGCGATGTTAACGTTAAATGTTAATGCTCATGGGGAAAAAGCTAGCTAGCTAGCTAGCCGTAGCATCATTATCTGTGCTAACAACATATCCTCCGCTTGGCTACCAAATGTTTGGTGTCTCTACTCATTTTCAGTTTTGAGTGCACCTGTTAGTGTAAATGTGAAGAAGTGTTTTGTGGTGCAAGAATACAAAATAGAAGCTAAATAGTTTAAAAGTAGAGTATTAAATAAGTTACTTCCCAGCAGGGAGATAATTCTCTGATGGTTTGTCACTATTTGAACAAATTTGCACTAGTGCAGGTTTAATGCTGAAGAGCAAAGTTTTCTTTTTAAACTGTATGGATTATAGACTCACAAAACCAAAGTACAAAGCCATAACATATTCCAGAAAGGAAAACAAAAACTGATGGACAAAAGGCCAAAACACCCCCAAAAGACAGAGGATGTCTGAACACTTGACAAGTCGAAGTTGTAGAAATCGAGGGTGGATTTTTCCTGTGTAGGGGCCCTGCTGAGACTGTCGACACTTTTGTTGTGTGGTTAAAAACGGGCTAAACTTGAGAATAGTGAACAGGAAGTGGACGCAAGACTATACAAGATTGTAATCCTGAAGTGAAGCCTCTTGGTTTGTGTCTCGCCTTCCATCCCTCTGCTCAGCCAGCTTTCCTCCACTTCTTCCTCGGCGTAGCGGACCTGACCTCTCTCACCCCTTCTCCCGACCTCCGATACGGTCCTTGAGCTGTGCGAGTCTTTTTTCTGCTGTCTGCTGGTCTGTAGTCGTCTATCAGAAACATTTACTCTTCTCTTTCCCCAAATCCCCACACACCAGAGACAACACACATGCTCACAGATGCATAAATATCTATATATATACTGTATATGTATACATGAATACAAAACAGGCAAACCTCTGAGATGCCGAAGCTCGCACCCGCACACTCTCTGGAGGTGCTGCAGGACACGTGTGCGTGTGTGCGTCTTCGTGTCGCTGATGCAGTTTTTCAAAAAAAAAAGAAAAAAAAAGAAAAAGTACCAGTTTACCTCGGGAGCTCTCAGCCATAGCAGACCTTAATCCCCACAGATATCTCAGTGCTGCGAGCAGCTTCTGAACTGCTGTGGCTGCCGTTACAAAGCAGGTACATACTTTTTTTGTTTTTCAGGAACAAACCCAGGAGCCTCAGCAGAGCGCTCTCGGGCCATTTGAATGCATACAGTGCAGGGTTTTTACAGAAACGGGACACAAGCTGGGAGTCCATGTCAACACAGTCTTACCTCAGAATCATGCTTCAGAAACGGGGGCGGGGCTTACATATGATCATAGCAACCGTGAATGACTTTTTTTTGTTTTTAAGTTTTATTTCTTGTCTCTGGTGTTGTTGGGTGAAAACAGTCTGCAGATCTTTCTTTTCTCCTTTTTTTTCTTCCACTATAAATATATAAATATATAAACTGTACATTATGACATAGAAGCACTATCAAAGTTTGATTGTTAGATGTGCACTCGCAGCATGAGGTATTATTCTTTATTATTCTTCATAGCCCAGAAAAAAAAGGAAAAGTGAAATGACAGCTTTTGGAAGTTTAAAAAATATATATAAATATATAAAAATAACAAAAACAATGCAGTAGCATCTACTGATGTCAAAGAAAAATACCCAACCTCACCCCACCACACACACACCTCTCCCCACAGACCTTTACCCAAGCCCTGCCCCCTCTTCCCCCTGAACTCCATACAGATGATTGCCCAGATGCTCCCTCGAATCAGCCCCCACCCCCCACCCTGCTCTCCTTGTACATGCCAGTGTTTCCCTCATGTGTTCCAAGTGCCAATAACTTTGTGAATTCCTAACTGTGACCCAGTAATAAAGATAATTGCACATTAACTACTGTAAAGAGAAAAAGAAACCAGACTGATTAAAAATGAGGAAGAAATCTGAATATCTTAATAAAAGGTTTGTAACAAACAGGACTGACCTTACAGCGGCGTTGTGTCTTTATTTGCTGCGATTTACTTTTGTCCAAAATGCATCACCATCTGAAAAGGTGGTTACTTTAAAAACATGTGACCTCATTCAGTGTGACCACTACTGTATATCCAGGTCCCATGTTTATCATATTCACATCATACAAATAAAAACCTCATCTTTTACTCATAAAATGAGATTGGAAACTAGCTTTAGAGACTAAAACCTTTTTTTTTTTGTACCAGGATGTAAACTTAAAGTTAATAATGGGTGTCACTGGGGAGCCTCAAGTGGTCATGAGAGGAACTGCAGACAGAAATCTGCACTCAGCTCAAGAGGTTACATTTGGCTAGAAATAAGAAATAAAAGCAGAAGCTTGGAGTCTTAGGTAGTGAACTAACAGAAATATGCTCCATCAAGTAAATACTTATTAGTAATATGATGTGAGTACTGGGTTTTGTGAGAGACTCAGCAAACAATTGTGCTAGGTAATGTGAGAGAGTGCATCTGTAAAAGTGGTCGTTTTGAACTAAATGCTAGTCTGGGCATGGTAACAGCGACAGTAACAAGATGCAGATGTAAAACCTACAGTTTATGACATCACAACTTGCTCTACCAGAGGTCAACATCCATGATTATTTACTGTTTTTCTGCTGTGTTTTACTTCTTAGTGTGGTCTTTAAATGAAACTGAAATGAATAAATAGTTTCCCAGACACAGCAGAAGATGTGCTGCCATTGGGTAGTGAAACATTCAATAATTTATTTTCCCAAAGCTGCTAATGAAGTCAGTTTTACACTGAACTTTTAAGCAGCGGGCAAATAAAACACACAATCATGTGACTGCCTATGGCGCCCCCCTGTGGTCAACTGAGGGAGGAGGAAAAATAACTGAGTTTATCTGCACTCTTTGATGTGTGATGTGTGCCCACAGATGTGCAAACCACTTCTTTCTTCAGAGAACACAGCCTTCACAGCTGTTCTATCCCTCAGCAGATCCACACACTTGTCCAGTGGCTAAATTAAAACTGTCACAGAGGTGTTGTGTAACACTGTGAGGCCTCTGAAGGGGAAGAGTCGATGCAATTCGCTTTAGCTGCATTTAGTTGAGCAGGCATGGAGCACACTGGACAGACATAAGTTTTCTGGCCTTCGCTGTACTCGTCTGAAAATGAAATTCAAGTTGCGGGGTGGAGGTTTGAACGCAGTCCAAGGGGTCAACTTTATTACCACATGTCTTAAATAAACCCTAAACTAAACTCATTACGCCACAGAAATGCTCCACACCTTATTCTCCAACAAAATTCAGTTGTTTGCACACATTTTATGAACATAGGGCTTTTCCTCCTTATTTCTTAGCCAAGTTTAGGCAGCCTTTTGAAAATAAACATGAATTCAAATAAACAATCTGAGCAGCAACTGCCCCAGGATGCATCTGAAGTGGGAGGAGGCCTTTGTGTGCACAGGTAAGCAGCTGCACCCCCCGAAATACACAAACATGAGGGGCAATGCTTTTTATTACTCGTTGTCATGGAAATGCAATGATAAATAGCAAGTGCTATTGTATGTTTAATATTGCAGGCTGGTGGAAAAGCATCTGGAGCTGCACTTATACACATGAGATGGACATGCACTTCTTACAGTGGAAAGAACAGGCACAATATTTTTCTCCCTAACATTGAAGTGTCCCATTTCCTGTGGTTTTTTTTTTTAAAATGTAAGTTCTCCCAATTGATAAATAACACCATCTTGAAAGGTGGCTTAGCATTTGTCACAGAAAAATGTGCTCAGTTTGAGCAGCTTCGGCTTGACTAATAAAACCCATCAGCTCCTCTCCCAGTTTCACAGGATGTCTGAAACACGCACGAACGTGTCGGTCTCCCGACTGCCGTCTGGTTATTTTAAGAGATGTGTGCAGTTCACAGAGCCTCCGGGGAGTAGCAGCGCGCTCCTCGCAGTTAAAGTAAATGTAATTTTACATAATGATTGCCGTGTGGCTCTCAGAATAACACGCAGGGATGTTTCCATTTTGCAAAGTGCTTCTCAATTAAAACTCAAACATCTGCAATCCAGTGAAAGCTTTTATCAGAGGAACAAATCACAAGAGGGAAGCCAAACTGCCATCCTCGAGACACACAGCCGAGACGCCGAGCGAGCACCTCAAAGAAGATAAACACTCAGGACGTTATTCGGTCATTTCAAGTTTAATGAAACTTATAACCACAATCAGCAATTTTAAAAAAAAATCTCTGGATGCCAGTAACAGAACAATTGTGTGATTCACTTTATGCAGTTTGCTTTTTCCCTTCACTTGTTCTTCATACGGTATATAGTGTATATGACAGGAAAAGTTTACACTTTGTCACCAATGTTGCCCTTTTTTTCTTTTTAGCAGAGGCAGTAAAAACACAATGACATACTCAAACATCATGTGTGAAAAAGAGGACACGATGGCTACCAGTACTGTATTTTACACATTTACATCCAAAAATCCAAAACATACTCGTTGTAATAGCTGGTCATTCACACAGAATAAATACAAATGTGACCTTTGGCACTTTGAATATTTACTTTCATTAGCCGTTTTGAACCAAAGGTTAGTAAAAACCACTGACGTAATCGTGTTTAAACCTTTAGCCATGCTGCTCGTGTGGCTGATATTTTAACTCGTGCCATCCACCTTTTGATACTCTGAGAGGGCAACAAAAAGCTCAATCTCCCCAGATCCTAATCCCCCAGACTCCCGTTGTCCATGCCACGATGAATCAGAGCTGATTTGACAGCACAAGGGGGTCTATGTGATATTAGGGAGGGGGTCCTCATATTGTGGCTGATTAGTGTAAATGTGTGCTAGATGGAGTTCAGCACTGATGTTAACTGCAGTTATTATAATCTGAAATAATCTACTGCTAGTACCATTAAAGCTGCATTGGGCAAAAGCCCCTCCCACGAGAGGCACACGGGTGTGTGCGCTTCATTTGGGTTAAAAACAAGACAACATTGAGTTGAGGCTTCCCACAGGACTCACACCCTTTTCTTCCAAGTCCCCTGCTTAAATCCAGTAATCTCACAGAAGTCCACCACATTCCACTTCCACACAGATTTCATTCCTCCTGTCCCTTTCCCCACTTCCTTACCCCCGTGTGTCCTGATGGCACAAAACACAACTACAGGACGTGCACGGGTCCAGTCTCTTCTCTGACTACCTGCAAGTTATAATACGCTGTACAGTTATTTTGGAGTAATGAACCAAAACCATATCATCTAACCCAGCTTTAAAAACCAGGATCGGTGGGAGTGATCATCTAATACTTCAATTTGCACAGATCAGATTAGTTAACAATGACCAGTGCTGTAATTGCACAATCAGCTTTGCAATCAATTCAGCACCATCACTACATGAAACCTGTCAAGCACCTGTCTGATGTGCCGTTACATTATAATCATGTAAAAACAATTCCCAGGTTTAAGTGAAACAGTAAAAGGAAGCTCTCTGTTCAAAACCCTTCATGTGCCTTTACATTCATGCGCCTCCGTGTTGTTTCAGACTGACACGTTTCCCGGTTTTTGAGCTACTTGCCCTTCTGAAGCTGGGACAAGAGCTCACATTAACTTACACAAAGCTCTGGCAGTAAAGGTGCTTTCAGCCTTACCCACTCCTGCAACAGGCAAAGGCACCTGACCTCTGACCTACAAAACAAAGAGTTCATTTTCTCTAACTGGGTGATTAAAGCTTGAGTGAAGATATCTGGATCACACAGGATTAAAAATCAGATGCTTTGTACAAGAATAATTTCCATTTACACACAAAAAGCAAGTCAAAGCATTTACACAGTGCTGCAACACACCTCAGTGTGGGTAGTACTGCCTGACGTGACACAAAAGAATAGAAATGAGCCTCAGGCTCCAGCAGAGGGAGCTCTAAGCCTAAATCTAGGCTGTGTGGGGACATCCTGCCCAGCAACTATTCCTCTGCTCATTAGCTGAAGCTTTTCAATAAAAAAAAGAGAGGCAGAGCCATTCGCTTGAAGCCAAGGTTTTCTCTCTTCAACCAGTGAGGGTAACAAAGCCTTAGCCAATCGTGTGCTCAAATGTCTGCGGGGGTGCGAAGGAAGGTGGCCTTTGCCTCTCTGTGGCAGATCACTATCAGAGCAGGAAATGAATCATTTATGTCTGCTGAGTAAAAGAGACTCGGAATGAATCTGACAGGCAAAACCAGGATCCATAAGATCCCCCCCCCCCCACACACACACACACACACACACAGCTCAGCAGCACTTTTTACTAAACTCTTCATCAGTGGAGGGAAAACCTGCACACCTGCCCGATGCTGATTACTGCTAGCAAGGAGTAAGCTCCCAGCATGATTTACATCTAGGCACACAAACAAACTGCACATTTCAACATGGTATAAAAATAGATTTAAGGCAACACTGAAAATCCTCCCCCATGCTACTGCTGTTGGCTTAAAACGAAGCGAACTTTAGCAGGTTTGTGATTTTAACCCAACAGGAGCGGTCCTCCCCGAGTCCCTCTAACTCCAATGATAACCAAAATGCATCAAAATAAAAGACATAATACCACCAGGGTCCCCCCCCTCCCCGTGCTAAACTGTGCTGCTGAGAGACCAGCAGCACCCTCTCCACTAGAATGGCTGAAGTGGAGTGGAGGATCCATCCTCACTATAGCCTGCAGATCACCAGCTTCCCCTCAGCACAAAGAAAGGGAGTGATGGGAGGGGCTCTGTAACCGTCCAGCCATCCAGACAGGGAGGAGTCTGTGAACGGGGTCGAGAGGTCATAGACTGCTTATGTCAGAGTGCAAAGAAGAGGATGAGGACCACGATTAGGATGGCGACCAGGACACCGATGGCACACCACTGTCTCCGACCTGATGGACACAGCACAGGACATCATTGCGCTACAGTGTCGCAGAGCTTAAAACGACCTTAGGCAGCATAAAATATTACAGTAAACACACCGCTCTTTTTTGGAAGGAACTCAAGTTTTTG